TTTTTAGGTGCTGCTTTGCCCATGGATTTGATCTCTTCTGGAAGAGTTTCGGGCACCATGTCTTCATCCATGTAGAACTTGACGTCTGCGAAGTGTGATTCGGCTTCAGTGAATGGCTTGGTATTACCTTGGATAACCTTAACTCTTTCCCAGTAGAATTTTAAGCATTGGTGGAGGGTGAATGGCATTACTTCATTCCCGTGGATCCAATGACTTCCTAAGAGCAAGCTGTAGGAGGTTCTTGCATCAATCACGTGGAATATCGTGCTTGATTGAGTTCACCAATGGTTATCTTCACTCAGATCATGCCCATCCCTTTTATCCTCCTTGGTTAAAACCCTGGATCAACAGATGGCTTAGGGACAATTCATCCACCTTGATGCCGATTGTGGTCATTGTTGACTTTAGCATGATGTTTATGGCCGACCCACCATCTACAAGCATGCGGTTGACTTTGTGCTCTCTTACGTTCCCCGAGACAAAGAGATGACGGTTGTGAGGCTTTAATCCCAGCAGTAAGTCTTCGTTAGTGAAGTTGATTGCATCATGTGGCACATTCATATGGCCGAAGCTTCAAGCCTTCGTCCTTGCTTTCTTACACTTCGTGGTCGCCGGGACTTGCCAAGACCACTGCTAATGCTCTTCGCATCTTCTTTGGCAATCGTAGCGCTTCCTCGATGCTAAAGTCTGTTGGCCGACCTTCTTTGGGCATGAGGGTCTTTTCTCCCAGTGGCAATAGCTTTGCCTTTTGATGGCTCTTCCATCTCTACTTCAACCATGTGACAGAAGATGGTAGTGCACCGTTGGAAAAAGTCCTTCGGGAAATACTCGTGCAAGGAGACGGGAATGCGTGGCTCTTGCTCCATAGGTTCCCAGCATATGTTGGCTTATCAACTCTTATGTTTTTTTTAGACTTCCTATTGTTGTGGCAGTGGCGATTTCCTCATTGTTCCATCTTTGGCTATGTGACTCGTGGTTTTGGCTTCCTTACCTTTTTGTAGGTTGCCAATGTCCACCCTTCTTCATAATCGGTAGGTGTATCTTGGTCACTTGCCCCCAGTGATGGTTATGCAGAATGTGCCGTGCAGCTTGAGCATTAACGAGAATGGTCAGGTGTCACTTGGAGAGGCACAGGATCGAATGACACACCCCGACCCTGAATGTCCACTAAAACTCCGAATCAAGTTGTGCTGGCCTACACCTGAAAGGTGACAAAGCCATAGAATGTGATAATGTGTAAAATGTGAATAAATTTAAACCTAAAAGTGCCTACATACACAAGTGCGCGGTGAGCGAGTATAGACCCATTTCACACGTGATACAGAGTATAAGAAAAGTATAGTGAGCTAAGATAATAATTATACCATCATAAGGAGCCACCTGAACTGGGAGTGCCACAAGTCCTTGTCGATATGGAACTTTGCTACTAGAACCTGGAGGGGTGCAAAAATTGAAAGTGTGAGTGAGCAACACAAAGATTTTCAAGATATTGCAATTATCAAAGGTAGTAACCCCTCGTCGTAAAACCTGTATAGTTTCCCAAAAATCATACTATGTATAAGTATGAAATCAAAAGTATACTAATAGTAAATCCAGAAGTATACCATTACCTACCATCTCATTAGCAATATAAATAATCATGTGCTTAATAACTTGTACTAACACGCAAGTCAGAATCACCTATGGTGACCTGTACGACTGTACCCATATCTCATCAACCAATGCTAGCACATAAGTCAGAGTCACCTATAATGACCTGTACGACTTATCCATATCTCATCAATCAATGCTAACACATAAGTCGGAGTCACCTATAGTGACCTCTACGACTTATCCATATCTTATCAATCAATGCTAGCACATAAGTCGGAGTCACCTATAGTGACCTCTACGACTTATCCATATCTTATCAATCAATGCTAGCACATAAGTTAGAGTCACCTAAAGTGACCTGTACGACTTATCCATATCTCATCACATATCCAAGTAATATGTTAGCCGGATCCACCTATTGTGGCCTGTACAGCTAAACCCATAGCTCATCATATATCCCTACACACAAGTCGGAACCACCTATAGTGGTCTGTACGACAGGACTGTGCACCTACCTTGGATCCAAGGTGAGCGTAAGGTGCGGGAGGTAAACATCACGTGAAGGACTGTGCCCTAGCCACGGGCGGGAGCACTAACACCGGGGTGCTGGTTTATGAGCTCTAATTGCATCTAATGTAACATATACGACTCATGGGCAACCTATACGACAGTGTTGGAGTTGCCTACCATTGCAACCTATACGACAAGGTCGAAGTTGCCTAAAACATCATGTAGTCATGCCATAACTCCATCGTTTCAACTAATACCATAAACTCACCTGAACTTACCTAGTTGTCCTGCGTTCCTCTTTGCACTTCAAAGCGTTCACAATAATTATGTGCAGGTAATATATATATAGATAAATCATGATGCAATCTAATACTCAATTAGGTTATAGCATTTTCAATTATATACATATATATATATATGGCATAACAATGCATAGGCTATAACGCCCTACTCCCAAACTATTTATTTTTTGGAATAATTATCGGTAATAAGCCCAACTAGACACTAATTTCATTAACTATCATTACTTACGTTTTCTTACTTCAAATTCTTGATTCTTCACACATTGATTATGACCAACATTAACCACCAAATCATAAGGTTAAATCTCACATTTTCCACCAATGTCCCTCACATTACTCAATTCCCTAAACAAGGTTATTGTCTCAATTATTTAATCTCACTTCTTGTATGGTTGCATCTAATGTCTCGTTAGACTGCCTACGTACCCTAAATAGGGATCAAGTCATTGGTTCACATTAGTACTTCAAAGCATTCACAGTAATTATATGCAATAATCAATTTATAAACGTTTGTAGAATTGTCAATTATATATATATATATATATATATATGATAGAAATGAAAAGACCCGCTCACCTTAGGTCCGCACTACGACTCCCTAGCACGAATATCGAGACATCACGAACCATCATCACCTAGAACAATTATCAATTCACATCTCAAAGTTCTTACCGATAGAATACATAATTTACATAAAACACATCCCTACGTAATTCAATTCGGAAGATCTGCATCAAGAATTTTCAATCCGTTACTTCCAAGGATCCACATTATGTTTCTAGAACAACATCCTAAGGTTTCATTACGATCCAACGGTCGGATCTCCGCCAATTGCCAAAACCAAGTGGCGGTCAACATTTTATTTTATGAACTTACAAATCCAATTCGGGAAGATCTATACGTCAGATTCCCGATCCGTAAGTTTCAATGGTCCTCAATTATTACATATTATAATGTATTAAAATTTGGTGACGATCTAACGGTCATATTGTCAATTCACATAATGCTCAAGTAGCGGTCTTTATCAAAATTATGTTCAAACGATGAGATTTCATCAATCAAACTTTACCAATGGAATTGGGGTGTCAAACTTAACTTAGAAAGGTCAGGGGTGACTCGGCTCAAGCGCCGCCGCATACGGCGGTCAGTCGTCCCGATTCGTTGGAAAATTTAACTATCTCTAAAAATTCTCAAATTTCACATAAATGAAGATCTCAATGAGAGGAACAACTTTCATACCTGCCACGAAGTCCAAAAGTGGACGGAAGATGGTCAATTTTGCCCACGAAGTTGGCGGGTGCCTAAGGCTTCCTGGTGTCGATTCGTAGTCTACGGTGGTCCAATGGGGTCAAGGTTGGTTGGGTTTTGCTCTTGGGATGATGGGCTACAAAGCACAAGTGGTGGCATCAGCCATCGCTTTGTCGATTTGCTAGAAAAATAAATAAGGGTGGCTGGAGCACCGTGAGAACCGTCAACTTTTGTGGCCTCAAACCACCACATACAAAGGTTAATCAAGGTAGTTCTTTGGTGGATTTTGTAGAGGGGAATGAGCGCTTCAAGATGGCGGTGGTGGCGTCGAAAAATTCCACCGTAGTTGGCCGCAATCGACCTTGGAAGTTGGGTGGTCTCGATGGTGGCGTGCACGAGAAAGTTGGGAGCTCTCCTTTTTTTTTTCTTTTTTTTTTTTTATCTTTTTTGATTTCTAATTGGGCTGCTATCATTTTTCTACCTTTTATCTAATTGGTCCTCATTAACCAATTAATTAACTTTAATAACCAACTTCAAACATTCATAACTATACCGTTATAATCCGAACTCGCAAACGGCTTTCGTCTATGTGTTTGTACCAACAAGTACTACTTAAATACGCCAAAAGAATAAGTCATACATTCCTCTAGATGATGGTCAACAGAAATCAAAATCCTTGCCTCCAGGTATTTTCGTCAATTCCCTCAATTAAAATAAATAAAAAACGAAATTTTAGAGATGGGTTGTCACATCGAATTATCCAAACGCAATTGTAGTAGTATGTGTTGCGGTCGTATCTTCAAGGTCAAGCTCGATTTGCCCTTGTTGTGCTAGCTTCATGATGAGTTCTTTGAGGACGAAGCACTTGCCAACAGGATGGCTCACGATACGATGGTACTTGCAGTACTTAGGATCGTTTACACGATTCATCTCTTTGGGACGCTTGCATTCAGGTAGCATGATCACTTTCTTTTCCAGCAAGTCATCTAACATTACAGCCATATCTGAGTCAGGAAAAAGGTACGTCTTTTACTCCATCTCCCTCAAGGTGTTTTTGTACCTGTCTAGGGTGCGAGAAAACTTATCTCTTTTTAACTCCTTCGCTTTGTTCTTGGAGGAGATCTTAATGGGCACATAGGAGGTTTTAATAACGGTAATGTTGATAGTAAAAGCTTCATTGGCAGGCTTCTTCCCATGATTGTCCACCTTGGGAGCAAATACCTTATCCTTCTTGTATAATAACATATGACGTATACGGTACCATCCCGTATTCCGAGCACATTGAAAAAATCTCTCAAGTAAAGATAAGGAAAGCATAAATGTTACAATTTCCTAAAAGACTCATCATAATCTAAATTGACTTAACAAATTCCGATGTCATTAAAACACACAGCACTTAATATTCCAATGCATGTTATTGGTTTTCAAATCGTTTTCTCGAAGGCCTGCCTCCCACATCAATGCTTCCAAGGCAAACAAGCAACACTAAGAGAAATATTTAATATTAACAAAGCTTAGCAGACAGGTTTTCACCTCAATCCTTTTATGCATGGGGTACCATTTAAGATTATAAGAACGTAAGAGAATCATACGAAATGATTTCAGCTTGATTTCTCAATTCCGACAGCGACGGGAAGGAAGATGGTAGGCATAGGGAGTGCAGATGTGCATGTGCTTGCGCAAATAGAGTGAAGCTCTTAAAAACAAACATGAGCAGGAATTAGCTTTCCTGGATTCATAGTGTTGTTGGGATCTAATGCTGCTTTTATTCTTTTCATTGTCTTCAAAGCCTCCATTCCCAGTTCTTGCTCAAGATACTGAAACCAAAAGCGAGAATCCATTTAGAATAAAGAATACTCGATCTTCAAGCTATATTTAATGACATAATGAATGATAGACCCCGTCTCTTCTTACTCGTAACGCCCAAAGTCCATCTAGTTTATTTATAACTTTCACTATATAGTATTTACGCTTCTGATTTAACTATCCGTGCCGACATATGCCTTCCATAACATTGGCCAGAAACTGCAGTTACCAAGCATAATATTCATTTGGCTAACATACTTATGTATAGATTCCAGATTCCAAAGCATATAGGCATGCCTATTTTACCTTAAACGGCTAGCAAGTCAACAGAAAATTAAGTACCTTCATTTTTCCTGTACCAACGCCATGTTCACCGGTACATGTTCCTGCTCAGTTTTCAAATACCAACTTTTAGCACCCTAACTCCTCGACCATTGTGTTATAATAATACATGGCTAGCGAAATATAAAAAGAATTGACTAACTTGAGATAAGATCAACTGTTGTTTATTACATGTAAAGATACTAGATTAACAAACTTAATGGAATTAATAAACCACAATATAGAAAGAATCCAAAAAGGATAACCAAGAACAGCCATATTGCATATTACTTTCAACAATGCATTGACTTGGAGAGTAGAGAAATTCTAAAGAATTCCAGGATAGTCCATACCTTCCATTGACAAGGCAGTATGGACCATAAAATGGTTCAGTCTCTCTGCTTCTCGTCGATGTTCTTCATTGTTAGGGTCAAATAGAATCACTGTATGGAAGTTCCCGTCACCAGCATGAGCAATAACTGTGCTGTTGTTAGGAAAAATTAAAAAAAGCACAACGATAGTCAGCCCATTTAATCCTCCATGCTATTTGCGAACCACAACATATTTCATCATCACCCCTCGACTGAGTAATAGGGGTACAGTCATTTGATCAGACATTACCAAACAAGTTCTGATGCATCCAGCTGTTCTTTGGACCTTGATATCAATTCTGCAAGACATGATAAAGGAACACATACATCCTGCATATATGAAAAGTAAAAATTAAAATGAACCATTTGAACTTAACAAAACAGCCAGAAACCCATTTACTAATTCTTTGAATTTATAATACTTCCATTCCTACAAATGATGAGAATTAGCAGGCAAGAAAATGGTTGAAACTATCAGGAACTCGAATGAAAAACTTGACAATTTTTTAGAATGTAGGATTCCTATAAGTGATTGTTGTAGGAGCAAACAAGAATGTTCAACAAGTTTTTAACTATTAAAAAATATTATGCAACTGTGTGAACAACTGCCAAAAGTCTAGAAAAATTTTCAGATCCATTGATATCAACTTACCGAAATCATTGCCTCAAAATTAGGCTCCATTGCAAAGCATGCCCAGAGTGCCTCCTTCCTTATCTACATGTAAAAGAGAGAATTAAATAGAGAAAATGAAAACAAGGATGAGTTGGTTCAAGCCTCTGGCTTCAATCTATCAAAGAACTCAACCATCTTTGTTGGAAGTAAGGTATTACAACAATTTGAAATCGAGTAGCAATTTAAGCTGTAAGAGTGGACAATAACTGCAGCTAGGAACAGAGTTCCATTAATGGAAGTGACTAGCAGCCACATATTTATGATGCAGAACTAATTTTGACCAATTAAGTGATACAAGTACTAATTGCAAATGGTGCAACTTAGTATTAAGTATAAGTGAAACAAAAGAATTGTAAGTGCCTATAGGAGGACAGCAGGAGATAATTTACGAACTAAGACAAGAAAGGGCATCCATTTATTTATCATACATCTTTTCCATTTATTTATCATACACCAATTAAGTATTCACTACCTTCCAGAGTTCCTTTTTAGCTTCAGGGTCTTCCGCAAAAACAAAGTCTGAGCCATTGTGTTCAGAAACAATCTGTTGAACTATATGGGTTTGCTCACGGGAATATGCCTCTAAAAACAGAAAGAAAATAAATCACAAATTACAACAGGAAGAAAGAAGGCAGTGGGCACTAAATGGCAGGGAGTCAACAAACTAAAGCCTTTTGTCCCATGGAAAATACTAGTTCTTTGCATTGAAAACTAATTATTCCCTGCTCAGCATATTCAACTAGGACTGATAAGAAAAATCTGGCAAGACCTTTGAGAAATATCCATAAATAGTTTCCTTTCACAATGCTTGGAAAATCTAAAGAGCATAAAAAATTTTGAAAAAAAAAAGCATTCTACTAAACGGTATAAGAAATATCTAACCCATGTCCAATTATTAAAATGGAAGAAGGCAATCAATCACAGCAATTTGGATCCTCTTGGACATATTCTCTTGTTTCCCTCTTTTTTCTTTTCTTCTTACCCCCATTTATTTCAGCAATAATGATGACTAGGCGCTGGTATAGCCCTGTCCAATCACTAAACCCGCAGTTGCCAAAATATGAGGCAAACACAAACCTTTAGAAGACAAACCGGTAAACCACCATTATGTACTTATCATAAATAAATAAGCTGTGATCCTACACCTAAACAATTTAATTACTTCAGTCAGGACTCATAAACGATCATGAACTGCCAGATTGCTCCTGATTTTCCTTGTTGTGTCAAACCATCAATAGATTTGGAAAAAGCATATGATAGGGTCCCAAGAGACATTCTTTGGAGGATCTTAGAGAAAGGAGTACGAGTAGCATATATCCAAACTATAAAGGATATGTATGAAGGAGCAAAGACTGCCGTAAGAACTCATGAAGGACAAACCGAAAGCTTTCCCATAACTGTAGGATTACATCAAGGCTCATCCTTAAGTCCTTACCTTTTTGCGTTGGTAATGGATGAGTTAACAGGACATATTCAAGATGATATTCCTTGGTGTATGCTTTTCGCAGACGATATAGTGTTGATAGATGAAACTCAGGAAGGGGTAAATGCAAAGCTTAACCTTTGGAGAGAAGTGTTGGAATCTAAAGGTCTTCGCCTAAGCCGATCAAAGACAGAATATATGGAGTGCAAGTTCAGTGCAGATGGAGGCCAAAACGAGTTAGGGGTGAGGATCGGAGATCAAGAAAATACCAAAGAGCGACCGTTTTCGTTACCTAGGATCTATCTTGCAAAAGAACGGAGAATTAGATGGAGATCTCAACCATAGAATACAAGCTGGATGGATGAAGTGGAAGAGTGCATCTGGCGTGTTGTGTGACCGCCGTATGCCACTGAAGCTCAAGGGAAAATTTTATAGGACGGCAATAAGGCCGGCGATGCTGTATGGCACAGAATGTTGGGCGGTGAAGCATCAACACGTACACAAAATGGGTGTAGCGGAGATGAGGATGCTTCGTTGGATGTGTGGGCACACGAGAAAGGATAAGATTAGGAATGAGGATATCCGGGGTAAAGTAGGAGTAGCCGAAATTGAAGGAAAGATGAGAGAAAATCGGTTACGGTGGTTTGGACATGTGCAAAGGAGGCCTACTGACGCTCCGATTAGAAGATGCGACTATGGGACAGAGGTTCAGGGCCGAAGGGGTAGAGGAAGACCTAGGAAAACTTTGGAAGAGACTCTAAGAAAAAGACTTAGAGTACTTGGATCTAACGAAGGACATGACACAGGACCGAGCACAATGGCGTTCTAAGATTCATATAGCCGATCCCACTCAGTGACTTGGATTTTCCAAGTCTCCAACCGAGAAGTTTTCCTCACTCGAAAATTAAGGGAACACTACCCCAACCTACACATGCTCCACTCAGAAAGCTTCAACATACAAGCTTCAACAAAAGAAAATTCAAAGAACTTAGCGAAGAAGGCTTTGGTGTATTTAACACAATACGTTGAAATGAAGGAAAACTTATTTATTGATATCCCCGATAAGCTACAAATATGTACATATACATGAGTCAAAATAAACAAACAAGATGGAGCCTTCACAAAGGTTGCTTAGGAGAAGTCTCAGCAGTCGGTAGAGCTCCAGAAAGAGAAGGCATCGGAGGGGGATCATTCGGAGCCTCAGTACTGGACAGAACCCTAGAAGGAGGAGGCATCAGAGGTTGATCATTTGGAGCTTCATTACGCGGTACAGCCCCAGAAGACGAAGGCAGAGCCCAGACAGAACGAAGGCAAAAATGCCTTTGGAACAAACCCACAAATCTCTGATGATCAAATAAAACCTGACCATCAGTTTCCTTCATCTGGTCAAGCTTCCTCTTCATGTTTTGTAGCATAGTCATAGTCATGTGCGAGCCGGTTGCAACTGTTTATTTCATGCTTGAGCCCTCTAATCTCCTGTTTGAGACTCATCACTTCGGCCGCCAATGATTCAACTTGGCGGGGTTCGAGCAAATAGGCGTTGGGCCATATTAGACACAGAACCTGCACACTGAACACTGAGAGCCAGTGAATCCTTAACAGCTAACTCATCAGACCGTTTGGAAAGTAGTCTGTTATCTTTGGGAGTGAGAAGGTTCCTGGCCACCACCGCAGCGGTCATATCATTCTTCATCACGGAATCCCCAACGGTAAGAGGACCAGTAGGGGAGACGAAGGATGGGCGCCATATGTTGTCTGGAGAAGGCGGGGCTGCCTCTTCAACAAGGTTCAAGTCAAAACGACGGTCGGAGGGGCCAGACATTTTTCAAAGGTATTGAAGAGAGAAGAGGTCGGACAAATCAAGATCTTAGAAGTGCAAGAATGGAGCTTCTACTGGTGGAGATTCAAGTGTGCTTTGGAACTTAATGCCAGCCCCTATAAAAAGCTGCACTCGACGGGAGCTTCAGACATCGAAGAGGCGCCTGCTCAGAAATCGAAAGAGGCGTTTGCTTTCTCAAAAGCTGGGCTGCTTAGAGACCACGAGGGGTTGATCTCATAATCATAAATCGAAGAGGTGTTTGCTTTCTCAAAAGTTGGGCTGCTCAAAGACCACGAAAGTCGATCTCAGAAATCGAAGAGGCGCTCGCTTCCTCAAAAGCTGGGCTCCTCAGAGACCACGAGGGCCGATCTCAGAGAAATCGAAGAGGCACCTACTTTTCCAGCCTTGTCAGCACCTGTCATCACACGCACACTCAGCTTTGCGGAAATTATGGGTATTCTGTCGAAGACTTCTGGGGAAGTAGAAAACACATGAATCTTACTGTCCAATCACCCCACTTCCCACACGCAGCAATAGCTCTCATGGGTACCACAGATAACTTTGCCAAAGTTCTCTGCCAAAGTTGAGCACGTGAAGCTTGCAACTCCCACTACATCGCTCTGACCAAGAAGGGTAAAAGAATAGCAAAGAAACAGCACTAACAAAGTTTAGACCCATAAATTTTGAAGGTCTAGCTACCATATTACCATATTACCCACAAGGGTAAAAGGAACAGTACCACTGTTGGATAATTGGAAAGTCCCTGTGTGTCAACCTCTGTGCCTCGTGGCAAGGTAGACTAGACTAGCAAACATGCCCAACCTTTACTCACATTCGAGAAAACACTCCCAATAAGATTGCTTGCTCCAAAATCGAAGAGGCACCGTCCTCCGAATCTCGAGAGCCAGACTCCCAACATGACTACTTTCTCAAAAATCGAAGAGAGGGTAAAGGAACAGTACCATTGCTGGATAATTGGAAAGTCCCTGTGTGTCAACCTCTGTGCTTCGTGGCAAGGTAGACTAGCAAACATGCCCAACCTTTACTCACATTCGAGAAAAACACTCCCAACAAGATTGCTTGCTCTAAAATCGAAGAGGCACCGCCCTCCGAATCTCGAGAGCCAGACTCCCAACATGATTACTTTCTCAAAAATCGAAGAGACACTGCTCCCCGAATCTCGAGAGCCAGACCCCCCAACATAATTGCTTTTTCTCAAAAATCGAAGAGGCGCTCGCTTTCTCAAAAGCTGGGCTGCTCAGAGACCACGAGGGCCGATCTCAGAAATCAAAGAGGCACCTTCTTTTCTAGCCTTGTCAGCACCTGTCACACGCACACTCAGCTTTGCGGAAATTATGGGCATTCTGTCGAAGACTTCTGGTGAAGTAGAAAGCACATGAATCTTACTGTTCAATCACCCACTTCCCACACGCAACAATAGCTCATGGGTACCACAGATAACTTTGTCAAAGTCTCTGCCAAAGTTGAGCACGTGAAGCTTGCAGCTCCCACTACATCGCTCTGACCAAGAAAGGTAAAAGAATAGCAAAGAAACAGCACTCACAAAGTTTAGACACATAAATTTTGAAGGTCTAGCTACCATATTATTACCCACAAGGGTAAAGGTAAAGGATGATACATTCCTGATCTCTTGGGATTGTTTCCTGTTTCATCATGATTTCCAGATTTCCCTGTTTTATTAAAACATTCCCTTTATGTATTCTTTGTAGATTAATTATACTTGTAAATCAAGTCATTGTACACTATTTAAATCAATGATAATGCACCCTCTAAAGTATCGAGGGATTGAGCCAAAATACCTTCTTTTACTTTTGCTGTCTTGTCTGCAATTCCTCCTTTGAGTTATCTTTTATGGTATCCAGAGCCAGTGACTAACGTTTTTTTTTTTTTCGGATTCTTACTACTCTTCTCCATGGCTGCCTCAACCAGTTCGACTACTCCTTCCTCCGACATCTTCCCTTCTGTTTCTCATGCGATCTCCATCAAGCTTGACTCTTCCAATTATCCTCTTTGGTTGGCTCAGTTGCTACCTACCTGTTCTTCGCAGTCGTCAATTGTTGGCTTTTGTTGATGGTACTTCCATCTGCCCCTCGGCGTTCTTGTCCGACGCTACCGGCAACGCCTCTCCCAAGCCCAACCCAGCGTATGCTGACTGGGTTCAGAAGGACCAGCTTGTTCTTTCTTGGATCAATGGCTCTCTTGGTCACCAGGCCCTCGCCGCCACTGCTCGTCATTCCACTGCCCGTGATGTTTGGGTTGCTCTTCAGCAGCGTTTTGCTTCTACAAACCAAAGTCGCATTCTTCAGCTTCGTACTGCTA